CCTGTCCCGCCCCGCCCCTCAGACCCGCCGCTCCTCTCAGGCCCCGCCCCATCGGCGCCATTCCCGCCGATTAAGCCCCGCCCCGTCTGGCCTGTTCCACCTCCTCAGACCCGCCGCTCCCCCTCAGGCCCCGCCCACCAGCTCCAGTCCGTCCGTCCCCCCTCTCAGGCCCCGCCCTCGGGCCCCGCCCAGTCCTGCCGACCCCGCCTCTCAGGCCGCGCGGTGGGCGTGGCCTCCCGCCGGTCCCCATGGGCGCGCGTGGCTGTCAGCAAGCAAAAAGCCACTACAGTCACCCAAACTGCCCTCTAGTTTCACAACGACTCTGAGGCAGGGCAAAGGGCAAGCCGGTGTCTCAACTGCAGAGTGTCCTGAACCCTGATAATGTATGTGATGCTTTGGAATGTTGTAGGCGCCCTTTAGCTCTTCCGTCCGTCCTCAGCAGTCTGCCCGGCTTGCTTCTTGGCATGGCCTCCGTGGTAGCATCCCTGCTTCAGAGGACCCTGGTGGCCGAGGACTCCCCCTCTTTCCTTAGCACCGATATACACGACCCCCTTTAATCCAGTTTCACCACGGTCCCCACACCAGGTTTCGCCACAGTCCTTGGCTCGGAAGACTGGACTTCCGCAATGTCCTGGCCATAAGACATCTCTGGACAACGCAGGCTCCGGGGTGGTTAGGGTGGAAAGCAGGCTAGACGTTGCTCAAGGACGAGGTCCACCTGCCAAGTTCTAAGGGCTGCTCTGCCCTGCCTTGGCTCTGTGGAGGACTGGACAGATCCCCTGAGATGACCTTTGGCTGCCTTCTAAAGGCCAAGGCAAGGCCAGCAAGATGGCTCATTGGGTAAAAGGTGCACGCATGCTGAAGATCCTGATGATCTGAGCGCAGTCCTCAGAACCCACATTGTGAGTACCGTGTACACGTGTGCCCTCTCCCAAGTAAATGTAATAAAAAAAAATTAAATACACTCCAAAGCTTTAAGAGAATCTTTAACAAGGTCTAACACTAGAATGAGCACTGTTGGTCAGTGTCCAGGATTGGTCAGCGTGGCTGCATTGAGATGCAGATCACGCTGACATTTTCAAGAGAAAAGGTCAACACAATTATTCCTGGGCTCACCTGCTAAGTAAGAGCTGCTTTCCTTATTGCCTGAGGCCACTCAGCCAGTTACAATAGTGTTTGCTCCCAGCATTAGGTGGAATGCTTGCTAGTATTGCTTTGAATTTGAGGGACAAGAATTATTGTCACAGCTGGGCAGTGATGGCGCACACCTTTAATCCCAGCACTCAGGAGGCAGAGGCAGGTGAGTCTCTGTTAGCTTGAGGCCAGCCTGGGCTACAGAGTGAGATCCAGGACAGCCAGGACTGTTAGATAGGAAAACTCTGTCTCAAAAAAAAAAAAAAAAAAAGTCACAATAAACTCCTCTTACAACAGATATCATTTACTAGGCGACACTGCTAATAAACTCTACGTAATGCTCATCATATCTCTGTGAGGTGGTGCCACCACTGATCCTCTTCTGTAGCAGAGAAAACTGAGAGTCAGGGGACAGGAAGGGCAAGAGTGTTCTTGAAATTCAAGGTTGTCTGCTTCTAGAATATGGCCCGCACTCTTGGAACACGACATCTGGTCCCTCCAGTCCAAGGTATGCTCAAGTTGACTCAGCAAGGAAAATTACGTACTTTTCCTGGGTGTGTCTGGTCTTCCTCCCGTGGTGTGCTAGGCTCCTTGTTCAGTGCTGCTGAGAGGTAACCCTCACACCAACAGCCATCTACAGCAAGTGGCCCTTCCAGATCCTTGAGACTCATATCTTCTGTGTCTACACGCTCCTGCTGATAAGGGGAGAAATAGGCTCCACGTTCATTTTTGCTTTTCACTTGGTTTCTCTCTTCGAAGATCTCTTTCTCTCTCTCCCACCCATTATTCTACCCATTTTATCCTCTTCTTTTCCTCATTCTCTAACTGATCTTCGGCCCAGGGCCGCCTCAGGCATTTTTTTAGGTTCTGTAGTGCTGTTCTTTTCCAGGACTGTGCAAACCCAAACCAGAAACCAGGTGATTTCAATCAGAGACGGTAGTCCCACGGTTGTGGTGACGAGATTATACAAAAGCAAGGTGTCAGCAAGATTCATCCTTCTGAGGTCTGCCAAGAAAGGACCTGCTCCAGGTCTCTCTTTGGCTTGCAAATATCTGTCTTGGCCTTTCCCACCACCTTCCTAGTGTCTTTACCCAACCCTCCTCCACAGCGTGTGGTCTAAAGCTCCCCCTCCACAAAGATGCCATTTTAAAAATAAGGCCACCTTCTGAGACTCTCCAACATATGAAGGAGGCACGTGCGATTCCATGCTGACAGTTGGCTGTGGTTGTCTTGCCTCATCTCTTCCCACAGTAAGACATTTTCCCCCAAACTGGGCATCTCATTTTGTGCCCAAGCCCTGGGTCTTAGTCAGTGTTCTTCTCTAGCTGCGAAGAGACACCGTGACCATGGCAACTCTTATAAAGGAAAGCATTCAGTTGGGGCTGGCTTGCAGGTTCAGAGGGTCAGTCCATTGTCATCACGGCAGGGAGCATGGCAGCGTGCAGGCAGACATGGTGCTTGGAGAGGTAGCTAAGAGTTCTGCGGCTGGATCTGCAGGCAGCAGGAAGAGAGAGAAACGCTGGGCCTGGCTTGAACATTTGAAACCCCAAAGCCCACCCCCAGTGACACACGACCTCAACCTCTCCTAGTCCCTGTCAACTAGCGCCACTCACTCCCTAATGACCAAGAATTCAAAAACTATGAACCTATGGGTGGGAGCATTTCTATGCAGACCACCACACCTTGAATGCAGGGGATTTATAATTTGTAGAGCCAAGCATAGAAGAGTCAACTGGGAGATTTCTCTATGGAAGCCTGTGTCTCCTTTCCATTGTTCTAGCCTCCATTACATTTTGACCTGATTTCTTTTCAATGTGGCTAATTTCCGCTATATTCAAAGCTGTGTCTGTCTAAAACTAAGTGATCAGTCTTCTAGAGAAATTAAGCAGAGCTGGAGTTCTCCGGGGATGCAGGCTGGTTGGCAGATTGACAATGGCCTTGTGTCAAAAGCTTTGTTATGATCATCAGCTGCGATGTTGTGATGATCATTGAGCTAGCATGGTCTCCTGGAGTATAATCACACTGATTAGTAATAGCCAAAGTGCTTTTAATCCAGATCTTGTCAATTGTGTGGTTAAAGGAAGGGCTGGCTGGCATCAGTGAATATGTGATGCTTAATCTTTGTGTAGCCCTGACTGTCCTGGAACTCACTTTGTAGACCAGGCTGGCCTCGAACTCACAGAGATCTCCCTACCTCTGCACCCCTGAGTGCTGGAATTAAAGGTGTGCACCACCCTGCTCAGCATGCTTAATCACTTTTGAGGTCGTATGTATACTATGAGTATCTCCCTGGCCTTCATGAAACTAAAAATATCTGGAGAATAGACACCATGTCCCATTGTCTTAGTCGGGGTTACTGTTGCTGTGGTGAAACACTGGGTTCTTTGGTTTACACTTCCACATCATAGTCCATCACTGAAGGAAGTCAGGACAGGGACTCAAAGAGGGCAGGAACCTGGAGGCAGGAGCTGATGCAGAGGCCGTGGAGGAGTGCTGCTTGCTGGCTTGTTTTACATGGCTTGCTCGGTCTGCTTTTTCATAGAACCCAGAACCACCAGTCCAGAGATGACATCACCCACCATGGGCCGGGCCCTCCCCCATCAATCACTAATTAAGAAAATGTCCTACAGCCAGATCTTACGGAGACATTTTCTCAATTGAGGCTCCCTCCTTTTAGATACCTCTAGCTCGTGTCAAATTGACATAAGACGATCCAGCACACCCATGAATCTATCTCAGAATCTATCCCGTGTCTTCTCATGTCTCTGTAAGGCTTAGCCCAGCATTTGTACGTGGTGTTGGTCAATTGTTTCATTGGATATTTTCCTAACTATTCATACGGGATCAATGCCAATCAATGGTGCATGTGGGTGTTGAGAATCTGGAAGATTGTACAATTCTAGAAGCCTCTTTAAGAAGGTTGCAAGTACAAAGTTGGATATCAAAGTGAATACTTGCATGGGGGGGGGGGGTGTCAGGCCTTTAAATCCCAGCACTCAGGAGGTAGCTTGAGGAAAGACGAATTGAGGCCTAGTCTACATAGTGAGTTCCAGGCCAGCTAACGTTACACAGTGAGACCCTGTCTCAAAAGCAAAGTAAAACAAAATGAAACCAAAATTCAAACCAACCAACCAAAAAGTGAATGCTTCTTTGAACGAGAGAACAGAGTCATGGTGTGATACAAATGTAGAAGCTCTGTGTCCTCCGAGGCCTCAAGCGGCAGGGAGGCAGGCCAAAACAAAAACAACGAACACAAATTTCACAAAGTTGAGAAAAAGAACCCAATTTTAAAAACTCTTTCCCTACCTGAATAACAAGCTTCCCGCCTCCTCCAATACTCATCCATTTCTTTTTAAGAGGTTTTTAGTGAGTTTACTTTTTAGAACACTTTTCAGTTTATCAAAAAAAATTTTTTGCAGAGTTCTCATAAACTCCTTACCCAGTTTCCACTCCGACTGAGATTTTACAATAGTACAACACATTTATCACTATTAGGAAACTGGCTTCGAGATACCATTTGTTTGGAGGTGTGTGTCCTTATTAGCTAAGCCGTTTTACCAGCTGGGAACTTTTTAAGTGAGAGTTTTGATCAGATGTGAATAAGAACAAAACCCTTTCTCGTCCATCTTACATGAGTGCCCATTGGGAGACCTTCCCATGGTACTTTCTGGCCATGCACATTTCATTCCCTGTCTCTCTCACTTTTACCACACACTTCCAGATGCCCTCTGACAGGTTAATTTGGAGGGATGGCCCAGGACCTTTAACCTCCTGCCAGGATGACAGATGAGTTGACAGAGTGGGTGGAGGAGTCTTGAAGGCATTCCTGTTAATGCAGACCCCATAAATACGGCTCCTAAAACCCAAAGTGTGTGTGCAACACCAGCTCCCCTCAGCTGGGCTTCAGAAATGACCTCAGCACCCCAAACCAGGGACTGGCTGGAGTAGACAGTGTTACCTCTTTGGACTCATAGAAGTCAAATTGTCTTTTGCAAAGTTAATCCCAGAAACACTGGACTCTGTGGTCACATGGCTAGGGCTCCTCCCTAAATCTCATGAGGGGCTTCTACTAGTCACTCCCCAAACTAAGCTGTCTAAACTTCCTAGTTAATCTAATTCAGCTGGCAAACCTGTCTCCCATTTAAATTTTGAAGTCTTTTTACATTCTGTGTGTGTGTGTGTGTGTGCACATTCACAATTAGACTAGGATGTACTTACACACACACACACACACACACACACACACACACACACACACACACACACACACGCCAGAGCCTGTGTAGGGAGGTCAGCAGACAACTTGAGGCAATGGGGTCTCGTCTTCTAACGTGTGGGTTCCGGGCATGGAACTCAGGTTGTCCGACTTAGCGGCAAATGCCTTCACCCACTGAGCCGTCTCACGGGCCCCTCCAGTTGGCAAATCCTCTTCTACCATTTTGTGCCCTTGTTTAGACGTCTCTTGAGCTTGTTTTATAGCTACTGGCAGCTGTCACCTGGGCCTCTGCGGCCCTAATCAAGCCGTACCCTGCCTCCTTCCATACCCCTTTGTTTCCTAAATGCACTTGACCCATGGTCCTCAGGCCCTTCACGTGGGAGAGCTCAGCTGCCGCTGCTTAGGCACTAGCCTCCCTGCATCTCTCTCTTCTCCACCTTGGTCAGAGTCCACCAACCCTCCCCGCCTCCCTCTGTGTCAGAGATCGCATTTCTGCCTCAACACAAAGCTGTCCATTGGAACAGGCTTTCCAGACCTCACCCTGCACCCCACAGCACGCTACTTCCTTATCTTGAGGCGATATGAAGATTTTAATTAGTTGAGGTCATTAAGGGACACATTATTACCTATCCCTACTTTCTTGGCAACCAATTTGTTTGGCATTCCTCTCTCCAGCTAGACGGAACTCTGTGTGGGCTAAGGGGCCTAGAATTTAGTGTCAGACTGCTTACATTAGAAACCTATGGTCAGGCGGCGGCGCACGCCTTTAATCCCAGCACTCGGGAGGCAGAAGCAGGCGAATCTCTGTGAGTTTGAGGCCAGCCTGATCTACAGAGTGAGTTCCAGGAAAGGTACAAAGCTACACAGAGAAACCCTGTCTCAAAAAACAAAACTAAACAACAACAACAAAAAGGAACCTATGGCTTACTTATAGGCTTGAATCAAGCAACTCTCAAATCCCTAGTTGTTGTTGTTATTTTATCAGCTAAGTGAATCTAAAACGACATTGCATCAAATCTAAATCACAATTAGGAGAGGCATTACTGTTTTATGCAAAGAAAATAAGTGCTGCTCATTTTAATTGCCACACATTATCAGTCAAACGGCACACACTGTATCAGCCTTTGCTGTGCAACAAATCACAGCAAAACGTATTGCTTAAAACAATGGTCATTTATTACTTCATCATCATTCGGTGGGGTAGTTCAGGTGCTAGATTCAGCTAAATGGTTCCTTCGTTGGTCTCTTCGGAGCTTACTGCAGAGGATACTAACAGACACAAGCTTCTCTGGGGCTAGACGTCCCGGAATGGTCCCACTCTACCTGTTTGATGGTTAGCAGCCTGTTTGCTGAAGCCCTCCTGTTCCCCACATGGCCTTTCCAACAGTCTGGTTCAAGCATGCTCGGAGGTGGCTTCAGATCTTCAAACACAGACAGCACAGAGGGCACATGCCATTATACCATCTTCAAACCTTTGCTTGCTAGGTCCCTGTTGGTGAAATCGAATGACATGATTGATTTGAAAAAAAAAAAAAAAATCCATATAGCAAAGGGCTAAGCAGGCATAACTACCCGGAAGAGGAATTAGTGTGGTATTTTGCAAACCGCACATGGCTGTTAAACTCTGAAAAAAAATCTGTATGCAAGAGAATACAGAGACAGTAATAGCACTTACCTCAAAGGCTTGCTCAGCGGGCTAATGTCTCAGAAGCACCCAGCACGGTGCTTGTTTCCTGGTGAATGCTCAATAAATATCGTACTCCATTGCTTCTTTGGGACAGGGGTGGGTGGGTGGGTGGGGGGACTTTGACTCAATGCGTCTTCCTTTTGTGTCCTCCCAAACCTAAGTCAGACATCACTTTCCCCACAACACACTCATTTCCAGGGCCAGCTGCCCAGCAGTCCAGGCACACTGCTTTTGTTGCGTGTGGTAAGTCCTCCTCTTACGGCTTCTAGTCAGAGGTCCCAGCTTTGGGCTTGTCCAAAGTAGATTTTGCTGATAGGTTGAGTCTAGATACTTTCTGCCCCCAAGCCAATGAAGAGCCTGATACTCCATCTGGTTTTTATGTAACTGAACTGCCACGTTACCTCCAACTGAAGTACTTCTTACCCCCCACCCTCAAGGTACAAGCTCTAGGTGTGCCTGCAGCACTTTGTCATGTGACCAGTGTAGGGTTGGTCATACTGAGTTGTGATTACATGTGTGTGTAACACATACACATAGAGAATCTACCTGATTTTCTGTTACACGGAGCTCCCTCACATCACGCCTAGAACATGCTAGAAATACTGTTTGATGACTAAAACACAGAACTCTCAATCTCTGTCTTCTATGCAGGAAGGCTGGTGATCCAGAAATCCTGATCAAAGTCGGACACAGTATGTCACTCTTCGGTGAGGTTTCTGACACTACTCCTGGAGACTCGGCTCCGCTGGTTTCCCTCTCCACATTACAACACAGCTCATCGCCAAGTGCCGCGGCGATTGTAATCAGGCCCAGTTCTGTCCCTGTGGCCCACCTAACACCACACCCCTAAAACACATGTATATGCTCACACACTAACATTTCAAGTTTCTCAGAGCTGAATGAGGCTGTAAATACGATGAAGAGTGAGTAGGATTTGGGACGTGGCATTTTTTTAATCCCTGCGGGTAGATAAGCGAGTTGGCACACCAGCTTGGAGGAACGCTGTATGGGGGCAAGCAGAGTCACACGCTGCCTGCCTCTACTATAGGTTTTACCTTCCTCTGCACCAATGCACTAGGCAAACAGCCCATGCCTTTGCCTTCTGAAGGTTGTGGGCCACCCTAAGAGCCCGATGAAAGATCCAGAACCTCTCCTCATAAACATTTCCAATATGCCTTCTTTGGGTTTCTTGAGTTCCTAGTTAAGGCCCTTGTTAAAATCGAATAGGCCAGGGAGGGGCTGTTGTGGCAAAGACCTAACTTCGAGGCTGGATTCCTTCTCCTCTGCATCCTGTGACTAATCTTTCTCAGCCTTGGTTTTCACGTCTGGAGATGAGGTATCATGACATCTGTCACTGTGGGTTGTCAAGTGCCTGTCGTGGATGAGATGCTCTCCATCCCAGGCTCCCAGACATGCTGTAACTGGTCAGTCATAGGTTCTTGTCATCAGTAGTGGGTTCAACCTACATTTCACATTTGGGATGTCACATCTTAAAAGTACTTATTTACTGAGCACTTACTATGTGGTAACCATGGTGGTAAGTGCTGTCGTGTAGATGTGTGTATGTATTTGGAAGCAAATACCTGGCCCTGGCCATGAAACGTATACTGAACACAACAGAAGAATTCAGAGGCTCACACTGCAGGTAGCCTAGTGCCCATCTGTCGATACAGTGAGATCTCCTCTAAAGTTTTTAGCACAAAACATCTTTCCTAATTAGCTCACTAGTATGGGTTAGTTTTGTAGTTAATATAAGTGTTTTCCTAATTAGCTCACTAGTATGGGTTAGTTTTGTAGTTAATATAAGTGTTTTCCTAATTAGCTCACTAGGAGGATGTGGCATTGTTGATACTCACATCACTCTGGCCATGTGATCAAAGTCTGGTCCTTGTCTGTCTCCCACGTATCTCTGAGAAAACAAACATTCTCTTCCTTGACTATTAAAATCAAGTTCTCTTCGAGGATATTCAGGGGAAGTCAAAATTAAATGGAATGTATTTAGTCCTACTCTATTTATTTAATTTGTATGTGATTTTAAAATTAGTTCAATATGATAAACATTGAGGCTTTCACTGAATAAAACTGGTTATAATATTCACCCTGGGAAGCTGAAGGTTACTCAGATGTGTTTGGGGGGGACACTGATTTTGTTTTCTAATGACTTAAATTCATTTTTATAAACAATACACTGGTCAGGCCATTCCTCAGCATAGTTCTCAACTTAAAACGTAAGCAGCTAATGGAGTTCTGGTCATTTGGACTCATATCCAATGCTTCCATGTCTGTGAGCTTTTCTTTCAATTCACCAGAAGGTGCTAATTCTCAGAAGCTAGCCTTTTGGAAATCATCTGGAGAGAATAGATTTAAACAGTGTGAATGTCCAGAAGTCTCCATCTCCTCAGTTATTTTTACTGAAGCACCACTTGCCACAGGTTCCATTATTCACACGTTCTATTTAAAAACGCACAGCCATCTGCTTTAGGTTAACTGGTCTGCTCCAACTTGCCACAATAACTTTGCACCTGTTCCTGGCCACTATACTGGTCCAGGAACCACTGAGCGTAAGTGGCTTCTTGACTGTAAACAAGATGTCAACAATGACTGTCTTAAGTAGATCCAGAATTCATGAGAAACAAAACGGAGAATTTCACCAACTAAAAGATTTGATCTGGTGTGTGAGGGCCAAGAAGTAGGAAGAATTAATGTCACTTTCTAAAAAAAAAAAAAAACCAGCCTCGTCTAAATGCTGACTTATAACTTCAGTAACTGCCTCCATGTTGTGTAGCAGGGACACCATTGGGACATGTAGTCCCAGCCCTGCCGCTCTCTCCAGGACACTCACAAAAGTCAAAACTTAAAGCAAGAAATACTAGCTGGCAGGTGGCTTATTTTCCTGGCAGTTAAAGAATAAAAGAAAGGAAAATGGGTTAGCATGAAGTGGCGTCACTAACGTCTTGGGTAGAGAGAATGTTCCAGAGCTGTGGGCCACCAATTTTAGGGGGACATGGATTTTTTATTTGAGCTCAAGTACCCCTCTCCCCGGGTAACTCCCCCTATTCTCCAACTAGGCTTAAGGTGTTCATGTGTCCTTGTTTGGTGTAGGGATTGGCTAGCCCACTCTTGCCCACAGCGGTGGAGACATATTTGGCTGGTAGGGGTTTGTCAACAATCAGGGTGAACCCCGAACCCTTCCTTCTGATATTATGATAGCCGAGAAAGAGTAAATTAACAGGCAAAGAGAAACTTAAAACAGAGACGGGGAAAGGGAGACTCAGCCCCTCTTTTTTTTTTTTTTTTTCATCTGCCGTTGGGGTGGGGTGGGGCATGATAGGAATCTTCGGTCATCACTTTGGGATTCTGCGCCTGTGCCCTAGCCACCACCCAGAGAGAGAAAAAGAGTGGCTCTCCCCACTGTGCCACCCTGCCATTGCAGTCCGGGTAACGTAACTCCCGCCCCCAACTAGGAAAGGCGATAAAGAGACCAACAGTGTTCACCACACTGGGTCGTCAGTGACTCGAGCTCAGTATTGAAATCCATGGAGATAAAGTGAAATCATTTTTTTTCCCCTTGGATGCATAAAATGAGAGGGTCGTGGCAGGCCTCACAGAGGAGCAGACCCTTAACAACGTTTTAAAGCAGAAATAGATCACAGCAAATAATGAGCCTAGACAGAGTGAGAGCATGGGTGGAGGCTTTTTTTATTTTTTATTATTTTATTTTATTTTATTCTATTCTATTATCAGCTTGATACAGTACAAATTCTTATCCAAATAGTGAAATGTTTCACTGAAGCTTGCCCAGTGATTGAGTAAAACCAAAACTTACTGTAAGCCACAGTCATCCTAGGATCCTGAATGGAGGCTTTTTTAGTGTCTGAGACAGCCGAGTCCAAAGCTGAAGAAGGCTAGAAAGACAATGGGCATCACCGTCTGCTTTCCTCTGCCAGCTTAGATGGGTGCACATGGTAATGGAGGGCTCCACCTAGCCCATACCCATTGTGTGGAAAGCTTTTGCATCTCCCTCTTTGGAGGTGGGGGCGGTGACAGGAAATGTTGTGGATTGGCCTGAGTTTGGAGTAGGTCTGGGAAGACTGTTCTTAATTCTGCTTCTTTTGTCTTCAGTTGCATGATTTGGTAGATTTGATATTTACCTGCCAAGATCTCATTATATTTTTTTAAAATGCCTTATTCAGATAAAACAATTCTAATGTCTTTTCCACCTTTAAGCATCTAGGACTTAGTTACTAGAAAGGCAGGATGGGCTAGGCATGGCGGCACACACCTTTAATCCCAGGGCTCTGAAAGCAGAGGCAGGCTGATCGCTGTGAGTTCGAGGCCAGCCTGGTCTACAGAGTGAGTTCCAGTTCAGCTAGGGCTACACAGAGAAACCCTGTCTCAAAAAACAAAGGGACAAAAAAACCACGTAGTAATGTAAGATGGAGATACATACTGTGTAGAAAGGTAAATCCAGGCTTGAGAGTGTGGTTTGGACACATAATGCTTGCCTAGTACTGTGAGGTCTTAGATTTCTTGCCCAACACTAGAGGGTGGGGCGGGCAGAACAGTAAAGAGGCTTAGAGGGACTAATGGTGACAGAATGGGAGTGACATTCCACACCGGCCAGCAGGGATAGCTTCTCAGGGAAGAGAAAGAGATTTTTGAGCTGAGATTTAAGAGATTTAGATTAAAGAAAGGATCGAATTTTCTGAAGGTAAACAGACCTTTTCTTAAGCTGAGCGATGTGCCGAGGTCTCCGGTTGACATGTTTCAGGCAGAGAGGAAAGGTCGGTGAAGCAGAGCCTAAGAGAGGGTTTCGGTAAACGGAAGAGCAAACACCCAGGCTGAGTCGTCTTTAACAAACACCAAGATTATCCACAGAGTGGGACAGAGTAGCTGAGGAGAGGGTGAGAGAAGGTGTAGCCGAGGGCTAGCCCTCTATGTGGGCTGCTCCTCCATTACTTTAGCGTTGCAGGCACGATGTAAGTTTCTAGAAACATAGTCGTGAGCTGGTCACATCTCCAAGGAGCTAGGCATCCTTTTATTAACTACAGGAGAATGTCAAACACATTTCCAGCCATCAGTGGTATTCCTATTGCTACATATCTTGCCGTCTTTCATCCAACTCTTCTGGCCCATTAAGCTTTTCGCTCAGGATGTTTGCTTGGCTCTAGGTTTGCTTGTATCATTCCCTGCATCTGTATCTTCCTTAGCCATTAAGATTCCAATCAAACGCTAGTTCCAGCAGGCGATTTCTAATACCAAAGGCCAAAAGAAATCGCTGACACTCTAGGTCGATCATTCACCTATTTGTCTCTCCCTCCCTAGCTATCCCTTCCATTTATCCATCACATCCATTGATTTTTCCCCACCCACTAGACAGTGAGCCTGTCTAAGCACAGCTGAACCGGTACTGAAAGGACAGTTCACTGCTTTTGAGTAAGTCCGAGTGCAGTTGTGAAGTTAGGCAAGAGAATCAACCACAAAAGTGTTGGAAAATATCTTAATCATTGGGAAAAAAAAATCAGGCACTTGCTGTTTATTCAATGTCATATTCAGCACAATGCCTGATAACAAAAAGTAAAATATCAAATCCCTGCTTCAGAGCCCAGGAGTATACTCACTCGGCTTATATAAAGCCCTGAACTTGATCCCCAGCATCACATAAATACATAAACAAAATAGATATTAAATATCTTCTCCCCTGGGCCGGGCAGTGGTGGTGCGTATCTTTGATCCCAGCACCAGGGAGGCAGAGGCAGGTGGATCTCTGTGAGTTCGAGGCCATCCTGGTCTACAGAGTGAGATCCAGGACAGGCTCCGAAGCTACACAGAGAAGCCCTGTCTCAAAAAAACAAAACAAAACAAATCATCTCCTTAGCCTGGAGCAGCATACATAGGGCCTACACATGTATATACCAGGTCCTCTGCATGCATACTATAGTTTTTAGTTTAGTACTTCTACGGGACTCCTGAATGTGGGAATGAGTAGGTCTCTGGTTCTTGTGCCTTCTCTCAGGACTCTTATTTTTCTGTTGGCTTGTCTAACTTCAAAATGGCATTTTGTTTTGTTTTATCTTACCGTATTACTTCATAGTGACTTTACACACTATTCTGAAGTGTATTGCTAACTGTTATTATTGAAAATATGTACGTGTTCGGCAGTCAGACAGGGGCACATTGCAGAAAGATGTTACTATCAATTTAGATGCACCTGACATCGTCACTAGAGGAACATGTCAATTATTTTGCATATGCAAAATAGTGGTATTTATGGGGCCCTGACAGTGATGGATCCCATGGAGAGCTTCATTACATGAACAGAGAAGAAAGACTGGTATTTATCAAGTCATGCCAATATGAGTGTTGGTGAATAAGTGCTAGCATTGGACACAATCTATATCTTCTGTACACTCTTAGCAATGTCCAGATCCTTACTCTGTGTGATAGTATTAATGTTATTGACATAAATAAGGTTGTGGAGTGTGTTCAAAGTCTGGGGTGGGGGCATCTTCTCATTAAAGATTTAAAGATCAAATATAGGAATTCAATTGGGTGATTTGGTATGACACCAATAACTATTTAGTTTCCTCCTATATGATTTTCACCAACAGAACCAATCTTTTAAACAGAAAAATTTCTTGTTTACTTTCTTTTTTTTTTTTTCAAGACTGTGTCTTATATAGACCATGCTGGTCTTGAGCTTGCCGTATAGCTGAGGATGGCCTTGAACTTCTGATTCTCTTGATTCCACCTCCCAAGTGCTAGGATTACAGGCATTTACCACCACACTGGTGGCTGAAGATTGCAC